GTCGCGCTGTTCACATGCGCAAGTACAAGGGCTGTACATCTGAAGCTTTGTAAGGACATGACAGCCGAAGAGTTCAAACGAGGCCTAAAAGAGTTCGTTGTGCGACGAGGTGCGCCAGATCTCATAGTCAGTGACAACGCCAAGACCTTCCAAGCGATAAAAAAATGGCTATCGACCCTACAGAAAGACGAGAACCTCTTTAACTATCTAGCCACAAAGGAGATCAAATGGAGATTTAACATGTCCCGCGCGCCGTGGTGGGGCGGATTCTTCGAGAGATTGATTGGCATCATGAAGAACGCTCTTTCTAAAGCAATCGGACGAGCGTTGTTGAAATTTGAAGAGCTTGAGGAGGTTTTGTTGGACGTGGAATCATTCCTGAACAACCGACCCCTTTGCTATATGGGAGAAGAATTTGAAACACCGGTGATCACACCAAATCTTCTGTTGCGTGGGCAACCAGCACCTTACCTTGAAGAAAATTGCAATGAGATGAGCGACAGGGAAGAGATGACCAGACGACTAAGATATTTGAAGGCTTGCCGAGATAACGTCCGTAAACGTTGGCTAAATGAGTACCTTCACTCCTTGCAGGAGCGATTCAACTCTCTGCCCGAAACACGACATGGCACGACTTGTATGAAAAAGGGTTCACTGGTATTGATAAAAGACACCACGAAGAACAAAGCAAGCTGGAAAGTTGGGCGTATCGTTGACCCAATCGTTGGAAAGGATGGAGTCACCAGAGGATACAAGATCCTAACTGGCAGTGTGTACGTCATCGAGAGGCCCCAACAGTTGGTATGTGATTTGGAAATCGGTGACGTAGGTAATGACTCCAGCTCCTCTGAGAGTAACGCCGGACCGAGCAGCGATGTTCAACAGCAGCGACAGGTGGTTAGGGCAGGGCGACAAGCAAGGCGCGCAGCAGCGGATCGTTTTGTAGGAATAATGGCCAACGAGAACGAGGAGGATTGAAGTACCGACGCCAAACCTCCTGTAGTTGAAGTTTCGAAGAACGTTGTGTGACAGTTCGTCACGCTAGGAACTCAATATCGGAACTATTCTATGCATTTATAATTGAACGAGTTCTCATTTACTTCGCAATCATTCTGATTTTAGAGGACACATCGAGCAGAGTGCTTAATTCAGTAGCCAGTTATATTAAAGTTATTTCGAACTTTAATAGGGGGAGGGTGTAAGAAATGTTCTGACTGCGTGACATGTTGTGTTACAGTTTTGATGATTGTTACTTTCCTTTCATGTTGCTAAGTGATTGAAGGATCGAATTTCGAATCATGTGATATAGTAGATGGGCTTTTAGAAGCACGTACGGAGTAGCTGTTAAGATTATTAAAAACATTTAATTCTACAACGCGAGTCTTCAGTGTCAAAGGAAATTGGGGCCGGCAGTTAGATTCCACACACTGAAAGGTATCAAACTTTTAAAATTTTTCTTTCTTAATTATAATTGCTGAAAATGTCTTTATCTTTTCCACAGGATTTGATCATGCAAGCCTTTGAGGATGTGATTGGAAAGTACATAATGGTGGGAGCTGGTCAGTTTATGCGGGACTATCGTAGAGCACACAGGTAGACCTGTTCATAGCAGACATATGTTATGATTTAAATTCATCTTTCTTTTAAATCTTTTCAAACCAGTTTTAATTTTATTTTCATTTTCTCCTATAGATTATTGTAGCATGAAACAAAAAGATTTAAAAGCTAAACTGGTTTGAGAAATTTAAAACTCAAGATACATTTATTAACCAAAATACAATAACATACATGCAGACTTAACCGAATTTCAAGATGAGCATCTCCTCAAGAGTATGAGTCAAATAAATAATCATTTAAGAGAAACAAATAGAGACATAGCATGTTGGTAAATTTAGAAAAGATCGTTAAATTGTACAAATGTAAAGATAGAAAGTAATTATTGCAGTTCGAGTTTCACCCACAATTAAGGCAATTTCTGATGACCTGTTTGAGTGTGAAACTCAAGATACAATTACTTTGTTTATTTGTGTCTGTACTTTGCTCTGCGTAAATGCATGCAGCACCCTTAGGGCACGTTAAACAAATTTTATTTGCTTAAATGATTATGATACTTACATAAGGCAAAAATTAGCTGCAAGCAGTTAAAATCATTGGTTTGTGTTAAAGTGAGTGGGAAGTGT